CTGCTAAGAGGCCTGGAAGATGCTGTACTGTGGTAAGTGGTGTTCACAACTCCAAAACAAACATGAACTTATTTGGAAACAAGGTCTTTGCAAATGTCCTTAGTTAAGCTAAGGTCACCCTGGATTAGGGTTGGCTAAGTCCGATACCAGGAGAAACAAGGACACCTGACAACAGAAGTTGGAGTGACATCTCTGCCAGCCAAGGAACATGGAAACTGCAGTTGAGGAAAGGTTACGGAGGTCTGTGGTCATCTCAGCCAGCACTTGAGTTTTGGACTTATGGCCCTGAGAACCAGTAGGCAATATGTCCATTTTAAGTATCTTAGTTTGTGATTCTTGGTTTTGGTAGCCTCAGGAGAGTAATACCACTGCCCCACGACAGCAATGTCTGGCTCCTGACAACAGCCAGTCCAAGCAAGATTCTGCCTCAGTGGGCCCCTCAGCACAGAACCATGCCAAGGTCTGTAGTCCTTCCTGAAACCCTCTCACTGATGTGCCCTGTTCCTATATTTGTTTCGGGTGCCTTGCTGAGAAGCTGTGTGCTGAGCCAGCCATGTCACCTCCCTACCCAACCCTGGGATGCGCACAGACACCTCAGCCTTCATTATCTCAAAGCACACAGAGAAATTTCACGGGAGGCCTAATGTCCCACTAATGGGAGTTGGGAGCTGCAACCCTGTGTGCTTAATGGTAGGGTAATTTATTGTAGCGCCACTTGAGAGCTGACATATTGGAGGTATTGATTTTCCTCATAAGATCAATATGGGCTTCCTGGGGACAGGCAGGGCTATGCTTCTGGAAGGACAGATCTTTCTCCCAGAGCCTAAGGCCTGAAGATGGGATGTGGGCCGGTGGGGGCAGAAGCCAGACAGGTCTGCTGGGCCCAGCCCAGCCCACAGACAGTGGGACATATGCTTAGGCCCCAGTCCCCTAGAGGTCCCAGATGGGCAGCATGGGGCAGGGTGGGGCATCCATCCAACACCAACTAGACACAAGCTGGAAAAGATTCTGGGAAAGTGATAACAACACCTCAGGCTGCTGTCCCTCTAGCCTGTCCTCAACAAAAACCAAAACCAAAGAGTACCCTCTGTCTGCCAGACACATAGTCTATCTTGAATGGGGTGCAAAACTTAGAAGGGGAAAGAAAGGGATGATTCATTGGCCTTCCCAGCAGCTCCTCAGCTCTATTCCTTAAGATGCTCTTAGGCTTACTGAGCATGGTGGTGCACGCACCTGTAATTCCAACACTCGGGTGGCTGAGGCAGGAGGATTACTGTGAGCTCGAGACCAGCCTGGGCTACATAGTAAGTTCCATAGTGAGGTCAGTCTCAGCTGCATAGTGAGACCCTGTCTCAAAAAAAAAAAATGCTCTTAGGCATGTTCTCCATCATCAATCCTCGGTGCACTCCTATGGGACCCCTCATAATTTGGACTGGTACACAAAACCTTCCCCAGGCTCCTGCCTCAGGCCTCCCCTAGTCCCACATCCCCAGTGCCAGAACCACAGGCCCTGCCCAACCTCATCTTCCCTATCTGGTCCATTTTTTTTTCCATACTAGAATTTTCCATCCCAGGCTGCGATTTTCTTGTTGGTCTCATCGGGCAGGGAAAATCATCAGGATTCTTCCGTGACAAGAATAAGAGTCTGGTGGTCAGCAGACTGACTGCCTCTTTCAGCTGGTACAAGCGAGCATCTCTGTCCTTGGTTGGTGCAGCTCTCTACATCCTGTCACGCCTCCATCCCTACTGTCTAGATGTCTGAGTCAAAGGACAGGGAAAAGAAAGTACGTGGGGATGGCATTTAAAGAGCAGGCCCTCAGGAAAGCAGCAGCACCAGGGAAATGGCTGTCTGCTGCCCTCACCCCACAGAGCAGCATCAATTGTCTCTCCAGCTCTTCAGTGACAGAGAGGCAAACAGAGGCTGCGATGGTCAAGGCCTCACCTGGGATATGGGATCGGGTTTTCTGTGTGGTGGGGGCAAAGGTCCTCATTCAGAGCCAGCTACTCAGTCCCCTCCTAAGTTTCCTGCTGTGGTTTTCCTACGCTGAAAGTAATGGCCATATCTGAGTGGCTTAAACAGACATTCAGTGCTGTGGGAGTCAGGGGTCCCAAGTGGGTTTCACTGGCCTGAAATTGAGGCGTCAGTAGGTTATAGTTGCTTCCTTGTGTCTTCCAGCTCCTCGACGCTCCCTCTACCTTCAAAGCTACCCGTCATCTTCTCGTCTTTCTCTGACTCTGAACTCCTGCTTTGCCTTGGAAGAATCCTGGCTACCTTGGAAGAACTTTGGCCACTTGGAAATGCCAGTTTCCAATTCCATGGCATCATCTGAGGTCCTTTCAGATTCTTCCCCTCCGTAGGAACACACTGCCTTCTTGCAGCTGACCACTACACTGAGCCCACAAAGTCCCTCCTCTGGTCACATAGGCAGGATCTCCTTGGGGGCAGAGCTGTGTTTCATTTTCTCATCTTGCAGTGCCCAGCCCAGGACCGCACAGACTAGGGCAGGACAGAGCAAGCTGGCAGCTGTGGGTGCCCACAGCGTGTCAACCTTTTTTTTTTTTTCCTTGCTGTTTTACATCTTTCTTTTCCTGGTCAGGTTGGGATCCTGTGGCCATGGCCCATGTTCCCTGCTGGGTCCTCCACTTGGTTCCCAAGGCACCCAGCTGTTCCCCTCCTTGCCTGCGCAGCATATGGGAGGCAGGCAGCATGCAGACCCAGGCCCGCGGCCAGCGTTATGCTGGACTTCTTTCTAGCCTCTTTCCTGGGCTGGTCTTCCTTCCTATGTCCAGCAGCAGAGGGCGATATGACTTTGGCCAAGAGGTTATGGCCCCGCCCCTCTTGGGTGCAGCTCTAGGGTCCTGGACAGGTCAAAGTGGGGGCACCTAGGGGCCCAAGCTTGAAGCCCCTTGAGCTGGCAGGAAGGTGGGGTAACACATGTCCAGAGAGAGGATGTAGTGCTCCAGCAGCCTAAGCAGCTGTCAAGAATACCCACTCTGGGCCCCTATAGATTGAGCTAACGGTTGGGCTGTGCTGGGCCAGAGGGGAAATCACTGTGGCTGAATCAGGGATACCCTATAGCCACTGCTACACATGTGTCTTTGGATGCTGGAGCCTTGGACTCAGTCGAGCCTAAGCAGAGTCTGTGGGGACAGAGGTCCCCGGGCAGACAGGATAGTCAGAACTGGGCCTGGCCAGAGGCACCTCATTCCAGGACAATGGCTCACCCAGGACACGGCCTCACTGGGGCTCTGTCTGGGCCTCCTGCCTGGGAAGAGGTAGTAACAAGGCCTGATGGACCATCACAATGCTGTCACCTTCCCCCTGCTCTGCAGCCTTCCCCAGAGACCTGAAGTTGACCTGCCCTTGACACCACTCCCCAGGGTCCTGCACCAAGCACACAACCTCATACTGAGATGTGGGTGGCCGATCAGACTTGGTATTTGGAGGTTCTCATCCTTGGGGTCAGGGCCCTGACCAGCTCCCAAGCATTAAATGGCTTCAGGGTCCCTAAAAACTCCTGCCTTCCAGGTGCCAGGAAATGACTGCAGCCCTCAGCAAGGACTAGATCTCAGAGCACTGGAACGTCACAGGGTAGGGGGTGGCTGCCTCCCATCTGAAGGGCATGGCACTGGAGACAAGGGAAAAGGACCCAGGAAGTGGGGGTGAAGATCCAGGAGCTGAAGATTCGGGATAGAAAGTGTCATGGGGCTCTTGGGCATAAGTCAAGCTGGGAGGGAGCTGCTATCCTATCCTTGGAATGAACCCCAGCAGCAATAGGACTTACAGCAGGCAGTGTGTAAGCCTGAGTCCTCCTGGCCAATGGCAGTGGGGTTGCTTCAGGGAGCAAAGTGCCCTGTGGGAGCAGATGTGATGAAAGATGGGGTAGAAGCCATGACCCCCACGGAAGGTAGCTGAACTGGGATTGCATGTCTACTTGGAAACCTCGGAAAGTGACCTTTTTCCAAAATGGGGTCTTTGCAGATGTTATCAGTTAAGCTGAGGTCATGGTGAGTTGATGTGGGCCCTAAACCCAATGATGGGCATACTGAGAAGAGGAGGCAAGACACCCATGAACAGGCTGTGTAAAGGTGAGGGCAGAAACTGGAGTGGAGTGGCCACCGTCAGGAACACTGAGGCCTGCCAGAAACCCCAGGAGCAGAGAAGCCCAGGAAGGTTCCCCCAGAATCTCTGGAAGGAACCATCCTTGGTGACATCTTGCTTTGGGCCCTGGCCTCCAGAATTTTGTCCTAAACCTCTTTGTGGCTGTTTACTACAGTGGCCCTAAGAAGCTAACCCTACATGGCAGAAAGCCTGAGAGGTTCTAAGGGATTTGAGGGAGTCAGGAAGAGCCGGAGTCCCCCAGCTTCACCCTGGGAGGCAGCAGCCAGAGGAAGGCTCGGGATTAGGGAAGGGAGGTTCTACCTCCACCCAGCCCCTGCGAAGCCCAGCAGTGGGTTCGATCAGATAGACTGAAAACTCCCCTGCACCCGTCAAGCAGGGTCTCCAACACAGTCCCGTACGGCTGAACCTGGCCATAGCTTCCCAGAAGGGCCTCCTGTAGCTGAGCAGGGGCTCCAGGGGCTCCCTGCATCAGTCCATCCTCGGGCCCGTTAGTGATCCCAGGGCTTCTGTCCCTTCCCCTTCTCCAGGGTACGGTTGCTGGTGGAAGCTGGTGTACACAGAACACACAGAAGCAGGATGTCCTCTAGAGAGGCCTACTCCAGAACTCAAAATAGCATGAAATTTAATTTTCCGCCTATTTGACAAGGCTTGGACCAGACCCCAATCAGCAGCAGAGATAAGGGTCCTCGGGTTCAGGGTGTGGGCCAGCTGGGCCCAAGGCAAACACTCCACGGTCCCCCAGCAGACCGTGTGCAGGTGAGGCTGATCTGCGGCGCTCCCCCTGCAGGGCCCTGGTTGCTGGGTGCTAAAGCAAACGGGCTGTGTTTGCCCAGTCTGTGATGACAATACCGTCGCCAAATATTTGCCAGCCTGGGGTGGCTGCAGAGCCCAGATATAAATGCTTGAGCCCAGGTGGAAGTCAGCCTGCCCAACGAAGAGCTACACCCTGGCCAGGTAGGAGCAGGGCCTGGGGTGGGCTGGGAGGCTGCCGGGACACCACACGATGGGAGCTGGGGGCTGAGAGGTCTTTGCCCCGGGGTCTCCCAGGACCCCTTCCTCCTGTGTTCCCACTGGACACTTCCTATGGCAGGGCTCCCGGCTCATCGTGAGAGGTCAGATCAGAGTGTTCAGCCAGGTGGGAGGCCCCAAATGGATCCCCTCCTCACCACCTAGCCACCTCAGGAAACAGGAAGGGCCTGAATCTCCTGGCCCTGAAGAGCACCTGTCCCAGGGTCTCAGCCACTCATTCCCAGGCCCCCCTCATGAGCTTAGCACCTTTATTCCCACACTGGGGGCATCCATCTGCCTCTGTGTTGAGGAGGGGCGTGGCGGCATCTGCCCTTGGGGTGAAGCTCTAGGGTCCGGAACCTATGTCACCTAGATGGTAGAGTCCTATCTGCCCCTCAGGCACCTCCCAGCCCACCTACTTTCCTTCAGTCCACTCCTTCCCCTGTGAAGGTGCCTTGATGCCATTTCCTCACATTGTGTTAAGTTAAAACCTAGGATCATGCCTGGGGCTAGATGAGTTGGGCTGAGTCGGGAAAGTATCATAGCCTCCAACGCTCCCAACAGCGGCCTCAAGGTGGTCGGTTTCAGCCAGGTGGGAGGCCCCAAATGGATCCCCTCCTCACCACCTAGCCACCTCAGGAAACAGGAAGGGCCTGAATCTCCTGGCCCTGAAGAGCACCTGTCCCAGGGTCTCAGCCACTCATTCCCAGGCCCCCCTCATGAGCTTAGCACCTTTATTCCCACACTGGGGGCATCCATCTGCCTCTGTGTTGAGGAGGGGCGTGGCGGCATCTGCCCTTGGGGTGAAGCTCTAGGGTCCGGAACCTATGTCACCTAGATGGTAGAGTCCTATCTGCCCCTCAGGCACCTCCCAGCCCACCTACTTTCCTTCAGTCCACTCCTTCCCCTGTGAAGGTGCCTTGATGCCATTTCCTCACATTGTGTTAAGTTAAAACCTAGGATCATGCCTGGGGCTAGATGAGTTGGGCTGAGTCGGGAAAGTATCATAGCCTCCAACGCTCCCAACAGCGGACCTCAAGGTGGTCGGCAGGCTGCTGCTTTTGACATCACAGCAATCCCAGGCTAGGAGGCCAGCACCCTTCCTGCTTCTCTGGGCAGCCCTGCCTGCGTAAAACCAGCCCCTGCAGTTTCTCTCCCCTGCCTACTACGCCTGGACTGAGTGTCCAGTTTTAATGATTCTAGAGGTACAATGCCTTCCCACCCTACAAGACAGGCTCTGGCTGCCCCTATAAGAGACCAGACAACCTCCTGAAACCCACACCTGTGCCTTGCATGTCCCCTGCCTCACATACACACACTATTGCACACTTGCTCACCCTTAGCATTTGCCTACCTCTCTTCCCTGAGGAGCTCAGCAGCATTCCCAGGAGTGGTGGAAGCCTTCTTGAGTTCACTGAGGTGCTGCCAGCCCTAAGACTAACCTGTTCCTCTACCTCCCTCAGCTGGTGTTTGCCACCCAGGAGTCCCCAGGAGTTCAGGGACGGCAAGGAAATGGCCACTGGAGTGATCCAGCCACTCTGTGACTTCCGGCTGTCCCTGCAGTCCCATCAGCCCTTCCTGCCCTCTGAACCAGAGCCTCCAGAAACTTCTGAGGAGGAGGAAGAGGAAGAATCAGAGCGGGAGCTGGAGGCTGAAGGGCCAAGCGGTTGCAGCCAGGATCCCCAGAGCCCAGAAGTGCCCCCTGAGGGCCCTGACAGCCCCGAGACCCCCCTGCAGCTGCTCCGCTTTTCACAGCTCATCAGTGGTGACATCCAGCGGTACTTTGGCCCTAAGGACAAGGGGCAGGACCCTGACTCCTGTGATATCTATGCTGACAGCTGCTCAGCCAGCTGCTCTGCCCGGGAGCTATACTACGCTGACCTGGTGCGCCTGGCCCAGGGTGGGCCCTCAGAGGACAAGGAAGCCACTGAGTCTGGGGTCTGCTCATCTTGGGGGCCGGAGAGGCCAGCATGCAGGTCTGCAGATGGGGTGCCACCGCTGGGACTCCTGGATGAGCTCTTTGACTATGGGCTACAGCAGTTTGCAGGGCCTAGCATATCTGCTGGTCTCAGGCTGAGACTGGAGCAGAAATACGGCCACATCACACCTATGACCCAGAGGAAGCTACCCCCGTCCTTCTGGAAGGAGCCAGCACCCAGTGCCCTGGGCTTGCTCCACCCAGGTACACCAGACTTCAGCGACCTGCTGGCCAGCTGGTCAGCTGAGGTTGGCCCTGAGCTGCAGGGTGGAGGGACCCAGCTTCTGGAGGGGGCACAGCTAGCTGAGGCCTAGAAAATGGGCAAGGGTCAGGAGAGCACGAGGATCTTCAAGGGTTGCCAAGACTCTCCCTCCTGTTTCCTAAGACCCTCTCCCTCCAGGCAGCCTCACAGGTGGCTCCACGGCTCAGGTGAGGCCTCTCTAGGTCCAGGGGCAGGGTCTGGGCTTTTGCTGAGGTCAGGGGCTGCCACCACCAGGGCCCAGCCAAGAAGGCAGGAACAGGGGGGTCATCCAGACCCGGGCCTCAGCCCTTGATCCCAGATCCTCCCATTGTACAAGGTGCTGAGTTGCGCCCACAGGAGCAGGGGACACAGGCAGAAACTGAAGCTCCCTGAGGCCGTGGGCCTACATGGTTGTACCCACTTTCAAAGAGGTTTATACCCTGCCAGGCCAGCTCCACCCCAAGATTCACATCACTGGCAAGGGACTGCCAGGAAGAGGCCCATATCAGGCCAATCCTCGCCACTGCCCCACACACCACAGGGTCCGAGCCCATGGTCCCTTGGCAGGTGGCAGGGCCACAGACTACAGGATAAACTAGGTTTTCTTGGAAAGGCAGGAAGAGGAGGCACTGCCTAATTATGCAAGCAAACATGGCTGTTCATCCCCCAGGCGAGTGCCAAGAAGCTGCTTCTGCTGGCACTGCATCGGGAGATGGCTGTTGGGCTGGGGACCAAGCTAAGGGGCCCCGCCTCGGGCATGCAGCTTCCAGGTGTCCTTCCTCCTCATATCCCTGCCAGTGGCTGAGGTGAATCCAGGGGCGGGCCCGGCTCTTCTGTGATAAGTCAGATGGAGACCCTTCGTCCTGGGGAAATGGGGCAGCCAGACCGTGGAAAATGACGGGGCCAGGCCTGGGCTATGCAGGACAGGAAGGAGCCTGGAATACGAGGGACTAGGCCTTTTGGCCTTATCCCTTCCCACGGCGCCTTCCTGGTCAGCCCCACAGGTCCCTGGAGAGGATATCACCAGCAGGCACCAGGGCACTATGGCTTCCACAGACACAAGAGCTTTCACGTTTATTTCTGGGGAAGGCACACAGGTGTGAGCTGGGGCCCCGGACCCCCATGGGAGGTCTCTGACACTGCTTCTGGCCTCTGCTGAGCCACTCGATTCAAGAGGATGGCCTTCCACCGAAGCCACCTGCCACAGACACCACTCAGGGCCAAGGCTCCCTCCCACCAACCTCCCCGTGGCTGGCCATTGCCCTTAGGGAACCCCCAGCCTCTCTCCTGGACCCGGAGTCTGGGAAGAGGCTGTTACGCTCCTGCTGCCCACCTCACAGCCTGATAGATGCCCCAAGAGTTCACAGGAACTTGCTTGCCAGGGGCCACATCCTTGATGAACACCCGCCTGCTGCCCAGTGTTAGCGGCCATGGGCCCTCCTCACCCCACAGGTGCAGCATACTCTCCCGCAGGGCCGCTATCTCCTCCGATCGCTGCAGGGTGGACACAGGGGCGCCAGGCGGAGGTGGGATGGCTGCTGGACAGTGGGAGTTGACCACAGGGCAGGGTGGGGGAGAGAAGATGGCAAACAAGGGCTTATCTCATCCTTATCTTCAGGGAAAGACAGCGTCAGCCAGACACAAACAGTCAGCTTTTAGGCTTCTCTGGACTCCCTGGGAAACTGTAGAGCTGGAGGACTTAGCTAGGCTGGGGCAGGATAGGGTCAGGGCTGTGGGTTCCATCTCACCAGCTTGGTCTCTGTATTAAACTTTAGGTTCTGGATGGTCTTGTTGGCCTGGATGTTGTTTTCTAACTTTATCATTTGCTTCTGAAACTAAATAAATATAGCCCCATTTACAACACAGATTAGGGCTGCCTGCTAGTTTCCAGCTGCCTTGAGGAGTCCCCAACCCAGTATCACTGAGCAACTCAGAGCTCAGGGAAGTGGTAGGCACAGCAGTTTCCCTGGGCCCAGGGGTACCGTGGCCGGCTTGCCCGGGATCTCTGCCATCTTCCGCCCAGGGCTGACCTCCTTGAGCAGCTGCACAGATGACAGCAGAGTGGCCAGCTCCTGCCGCACAGCTCTGACTTCAAATTCTCTGTGGGCATGGAAGGCTGGCAATGTACCGGGCAGGGCCAACAGGGAGGAGGCTCGGGCCAGTGGGGTCCCTCAGTGAGTGGTAGAAGGGGAGACTGAGCGGCCATGCAGGCTGCACCCCAGGGAGATGAGCCCAGAGTGGCGCTGGTGGCACAGGAAGGGGACGGAGCTGCCACAGCACCCAGGGATAGACAGTGGAGCTCCTGACTTTCCCTCAGGAGCTCTGGAGGCCAGCTGATACCCTTACCTGGCCTTGCCTTCCGCCAAGATCTTCGGGTCTGCATCACTCTTGTGAAGGACACACTGATCTGAGATACCTTCTATCCGAAATGCGGACTACAGCCAGCTGGCGAGCTCCACCCCAGTTCCGGCCCCGCAAAGGCCTCACGAGGAGGAGAGAAGAGAGGGACGGTCTCTGTCTTTGAGGTTAGCTGTGCCCACTCAGACAAAGCCCCTGTGCCCCCAGCCTTCACCCACCTGCTGGGGGAGGCCGTCTACCTCGTCTCGCACCTCCTGCAAGCGGGCTGCACCTTCCTGCCGACATCGGGCCAGGTCCTCGAAGGACTTCCTCTCTACACCTTCCCACTCAGTCTTGGCCTGGGATTCAGACATCCAGTGAGGTAGGAGCCCACAAGAGGAGGATGGACAGACAGACGGATGGGGCTAACTAGAGCCCAGCCACAAGGAGGCCATGGGAGGTGGAGTAGCGTGCTACCTGAGGGCAGCACTCCATGTCCACCTCTGATTTTGAGCACACTGGTGCACAGACCCACACAGCCCAGGATGGCCTGGCCAGCCATCTTGGGGAATAGACACATTAAACAGGTGCAACATAGCCTCAGAGCAGAGCCACACCCCCAAGAAGGCCAGCTTCTGCCATCCAAGAGCTGACAGGGACAGAAAGAGGGCTGGCCACCCTGCAGGCACTGGAAAGTGTTCTGATCACCCTTATGTTCTGCAGGGCTGCAGAGGTGGCCAGGGATCCAGTCTCCAGACCAAAGGATGACACTTGATCACGACAGCCAAAAAAGACAAACAGCCTGTCTATTAACAAACAAGTGGGTAACAACATGTGGCCTAGCCGCGTGAGGGACTGTTATACAGCCATCAAGGAAACGACACAGGGCTCCATGCTGCAGCAGGGGGACCATAAGGACATCATGCCCTGTGAGAGAAGCCAGAAACCAAAGGCCACACAATGCATTATTGCATTGATGTGATGTGTCCCAGAACAGGGAAAGCAAAGAGACACAAAGTGGTTTACGGGGTCAACAGGGGATAGCTGCACTGCACATGACCATACGAAAACCACTGAGCCTTACACTTAGGGGTAAGCTGCCAGGGTTGAGCAGCCTGGATGGAGTGTGAACTGCATCTCAATAAAGCTGTGTCAATAGACAAGGGAAATAGGCCTAGGCAGAGGCTGCTTCACCTTCCCCTGCACGGCCCCCACCTCCAGGGTTATCTGAAGGCCACGGGCAGTGGCTGTAGGCTCTCAGAGGCCTCTGCAGCTGGAGCTGGGTAGACTTGTTTGCACAGGAGGCCCTGAACTGGGGGTCATCTGGGCCTGAAGACATCACTGAGATGAAAACCCAGGACTGGCTGGGCCTCCACCTCAGGCCACCCCTCTCTCAGGCTGAGCCAACGCTCACCCCAGAGAGCCTCAAGCCCAGTGTCCGCTCCTGCAGGTCTAGCCTCCAGCTCAGGGCCAGGCACTGGTCACCCAGATCCTTCAACTGCTGGGCCAGCGTGGCCACTGTTCTTTCCAGGACCTGGGTCTTTTCTTGGAGCTTCAGGGGGACAGGAAAGGAATCAGGGAGGCCCTGGCTGGGTATCTGTGCACCATGCGTGGGGGTCCCTATGACCTCTGCCCCGCCTAGCCCCCTTACCAGCTCCATTGTACCCTGTGTCTCCTTCCGGGCCAGCTTGCTTGCCAGCTACACGGCCTCCAGGTTCTCCTGCACGTAGGAGGCCAACTCCCCAGCCTGACTCTCTTCCAAGCCCACCTTGGAGACCCTGGGTTGGTGCCATAAAGACTTTCTCAGTGAGGCTGGTCAATCCCTCAGTGCTGGACCCAGGAAGGTGAGCCCAAGTGTTAGCTCTAGAACCTCCCAGGAAGTCCATAAATCAGAGGACACTAGTATTATCACGGGTGCCACTGAGAGACCTGGAGGGGCAGGAACACCCTGCCAGAGGAGTCACTACTCTGCCCTGATGAGTCCAGAGGTGCCTAGCACTCTACTTGGGGCTGCTGGGGCTTGGGGAAGGACGGATCATTGACTGCTGAGGGGGGCCTCTGGGGTCAGTTCCTAGATGAGACTGGGCATCCCACCCAGCCCCACAGCTCCCTATGGCCAGAGGATACACACCAGGCCTCCTGCTCCATCAGCAGGATATGGCTCAGTGACATCTGGTTCTGCCGCACAAACTTGGTGAGCCTAATCATAGCTGCATCCAGACCCCGGCACTGTTCCCGCAGGCAGCCATGTTCCTCCTGCTAAAGGGGCCAGCCTTGAGCCTCAGCCTTGAGCCTTGAACCCTGGCTCTGCCTGCCCACCCAGCACCCACAGCCTACCTCACGCTGTGCCCAAAGGGCCTGCACACGCTCCTCAGTCAGCTCCTGCAGCCTCTGCCAATGGTCCTCCAGCTCCTCCCGCAGGTGGCTCTCTGCCTCCAGCTGTGTGCCTTCCAGGGCCTTCGTTCTCTGTGGGGACAAGGACATTGGTTGTGAGTCTGCACTCTGCCCAGCTGTACCAGTGCCACAAACAGCAAGGCTGAGTATGCTGTGGGCCCTACCTGCTCCAGGGTCAGGAAGCTCTTCTGTAGGAAGCTGCACAACTTGGCTTCCCTCTTCAGGAAGCGAAGGCTCATCTCCTCCCCAATCTTCGTCAGCTGGGCCTGGGAGAAGGGCCACACAGTCAGTGGCAGCCTGCCCATTAGACACCTTGCCTGCCCCTCTTGGTGTCCTTGGGGTTGAGTCATGTCTCCTCTGCGGCCCCTTAGCCCAGATGAGCTGGGCTCACCTCACTCTGGACAGGAAGGTAGGCAGTGGACTGGAACCATTGTCCCCCAGAGGACCAGATTCCTGGTTCATGAAGGGCCTGAGGTGCTCAGTACCACCAGGACCCCCAGAGGCAGCCCAGGGGCTGCAGATTGGCCACCACATCCAACCCAGGCTGGAGACTCAGGCATGGAAGTGGGTGTGAATTTGTTTACAACACCCCTGTGCATGTGCCCTATTGTGGGCAGCCCTGGTTCCTCCCATGGGCACTCTCCTGCTACCCCTTAAGTCTGAAGGTGCTAAGAGGGGGGACTAGAGAGGACAGCCAGCTCTCTGTCCATCTGTGCCTGGCACCTAGCACAGAGCTCTTCTGCTATCAGCCCCATTACACCGGCCCTACCTGGGGCTGGGAGACCTGCCACAGTGCCTATAGCAGATGGCCATGGACAGTCCTTACTCTGCTCAAGAGCAGGCAAAGCCTCACACAGGGCAGCTTCCCCAATACCCAGGATGTTGGGAACCTTCATCCCAACACCTCTTCCCTCTCCACACAGCCAATCCATTAACTTTCCACCTGGCAGTGAAAGAGAAGCTGGTCAACTTCAGGCTGCAGAACTATGGGGGCAGCTGGGCACCCGCCACCCTGCGCCTTGCCCTGTGACGAGCCTGGATGTGTAGCAGCCTGTCAGACTGTTTAGAGAGCTAAGGAGATGGGTCACAGGGAGATGGTGGCAGCTCTGTTTCCCAGCCCACTCCATAGAAAGGTACACTGTTGGCTGGGGATTTAGCTCAGTGATGCCACTACCTGCCTCACAAACGCAAGGACTGGAGTTTGATCTGATGCCTGGGAAGAGAGGGAGGGACGGGGGGAGGAAGGAAGGAAGGAAGGAGTGAGCGAGAGAGGGAGCGTGGGAGGGAAGGAGGGAAGAAAAAAGGAAGGAAGGAAGGCAGGTCACTGTTTTTTTTTGTTGTTGTTGTTTTTTGGTACCAGGGATGGAACTTGGGTCCTTTTGCTTGAGAGGCAGGCAGGGGAACCACTGAACTAAATCCCCCGCCCTAGAAAGGTTACTGTTGAGGGAAAACTAGGCCCTGGAAATTTGCAATTCTCACTTCCTGCAGATGGAAACACTGAAGCTGAAAATGGCCTTAGGAAGAGCTCTAGTGCTCTATCACTGTGTCTGCTGAACTTGTACCCTACAGCAGGAGAGAAAGAGGGAGCAGCAACTGAGACACCTGGCCACAGCCTTCTGTGATTAAGAACCTCTTCTAGAAACCATGTGGCCACCAGTCATGTTGCTGCTAGTGCTGAAATGTGGGTAGTGTAGCCAAGAAACTGAGTTACGAATTATCTAAAATTGTAGGTAATGTCATGGGCAGTACCACTAGGGTGAGAGGCCAACCACACTGGACAGGGCAACAACAGGAGCCACCCATTTCCCACCCATAGGCAAACCTAGCTGCAGGGAGCTGTACTGATGGCCAAGGCACAGGCCAGAGACCTGGGGGTTGCCTCCCACACTCAGTTGGTGCCCCCAGCTGGGCTGGCCCTGTCTGCCCAGTGGTACCTGCATCTTGGCCATCTCATGGTCCACCTGCTGGCTGGTGTCCTCCTGGCTCTTCTGCAGGGTGCTGCAGGCTGTCTCTCGGGCCTGCTCTTCCTGCCTCAACCACCCGGTCAGCTTGGCCAGCCTAAGGCAGCGGCGAGGGGGAGGGGGTGACACCAGCTCAGCTGCCTGGAGACCCAAGCTAGGTAGCCACAGGGAGACTGGCCGGGCCATGGGACACAGTCCTCTTCAGAGTAAACTACCACCCAGGAGGAGTAGACAGACCGTGGAGTCAAGAGGGACTATAGCAGGTCTGAGCCTGCAGCTCGACACCGAGTAGGGAATGCCCTATTGCTACAGCACAGGACTGTGACCCCTGGGCACATGCTGGTGGGTACAGAACCAACACACCTGAGGTTGGCCTCCTGCTCAGAGCCCTTCCGCTCTGCATCCTGCAGTGCCTGTCTCCTCCTGACCTGAGCCAAGGCTTCTCGAACCTCCACCAGCCGGGTACACAGAAAGCACTACGTTAGCTAGGGCAAGGTAGGTGGCCTCTAGGGCTGGGGGTGCGGGGCTACAACCCTGCAGCCAGTCCCCTGCCACCTCCCAGTCAGACTCAACCTCTGGAAATGGACCATGCATGGGGACTGCACACAGAAACGAGAGGTTAATGTCTAGGCACCAGCATGGCCCCACTCCCTTCCCTTCCTCTAAAGTCTGTGCTCATGTCATGTGTGGCGCTACCTTTTGTCCAGGATCTGCATCAGGTTCTGGTTCTGGGCCCCGGGTAACTGTAAGGAGAGGGTGTGGGGCTGGGCAGGCTGCATCTGCCATCCACCTTGTATCTCTCCAGCACAGGCTCAAGTAGGGGTATGGGAGGCAGGATCAGAGTCCAGAAGGCAATGGCCCCAACCCCCAGGGAAGGAAGTCTGGTCTGTGGGTGGGGGGCTCACCACCTGCACCTCCCTCTCGGGGACCTGGGCCACACGTTGCATCTCTTGCCATAGCTGCCAGAGTTCTGAGGAGTGCAGCTGCATGCGCCCACGAACGTGTAGCAGCTCCCTCAACAGGCTGAGAGAAGCCTGCTCACAGTGTACCTTGTGTCCCCGTAGGGACAACACCTCAGCCTGCAACTTGGCCAACCTGGTCAGGGCCAGAGTGAGCCATTCAGGCCGGGCCCACTCAAGAGGGGATGTAGCCTCCACAGCCCTCCTGCCCTGTATCCTTCAAGCTTACCTCTCCTCTAAGAGCTTGGAGTTATCCTGCTCGAGGGCAGGGGGGCTGGACACCAAGGGGCTGGACTCATTCCTCTCTGAGTTCTCTTCCAGACTCAGGGGGTCAGGGATGGCCGAGTCTTCTACCAGGAGCAGTTCCAGGTCCTCCAGGTTGACAGCGCTGGGTTGTGTAAGAGGGCGACATCCCTGACAAGGGGCTGTCAGCCAGCTCTGCAAGAAGAATGCCTTGGGAGCTCAGCCCTCAGGGCAGTGGCTCCAGCTGAGGCTTGTAATAAGGACCCAAATCACGGCAGTGACACTTGTCAACTACCCTGTCACAAACCACGGCCCCAGTAGGATCTTGAATCATAGAGGTCTAGAGCCCTGCCTGAGGACACATAGCTCTGGGCAGCAGAAAACAGAACTGTACTCTCATCTAGCTAGCTTCAGCAGGTGCTCATGGGGGTCGATTAGCAGTTGTCCCCTGTGATCCCTGTGGCTCCCGCTCCAGCCCCGTGGGGTTCTAGCTCACCTGACATGGCTTCACCAGCAGCCCCCATCTGTAGCTTTAGCCTGGGTCCACTGTCCCAGTAGCCAAAGATGAACACCAGGCCAGGGCAACTGGGGATTGTGCCAGAAAGTGGTGAGGAAATTGGGCTGCAGGGCTGTGGGGTCTGGGTGAGTGGGTGAGGTGATGAGTTCCTGCTCTCACACCTTGTTTCTTTCCCAGAAGATCCCTGGGAGGTAGGCACAGTTGGGCAGTAGAGCTATTCTGGAACCTTCCTTTCCTCACCAGAACCTTGTGACTTCACGGCCCAACCGCCAGTGAAACCTGAGCCCTCACCTGCCCTGAACAACTTCCCCAACTGCCATTCCTGGAAGGGTCTGGGGTACAAAGCAGTGCTCCCTGCAAAGAGCTTCTTCAGGGCAGGGGACTGGCCCAGGCAAACACAGGGGGTCAAAAGCTCGAGACAGGATCACCACAGCTGGCCCTGCAGCCCAGGGCAGATCCCAAGGGGCTAAGGCCAACAGCCACCTGAAAAGAGATGCTGCAAGAGGGCTCCCCATTCCCGGCAGCCATACTCACAAAGTCAGGAGGAATAGGAAGTGAATTTTGATTGTTTTATTTAGTCTAATATATCCAAAATATTCTTTCAATATGTAATCAATACAAAACTACTGTGAAACAGAGATAGTACATGCTTTTTTGGTACCGTGTCTTTGAGGCCTGGTGGTTTTTCACGCCCTTTGGTCCAACTCTGACACAACCCTTCCCCACCAGAGCACCTAGGAAAACAGCAGTAAGATAACTGAGATCTGGTCATGTAGAAAGGGGACCTGCATTTAACCAGGGCTGCTCCAAGCTGACAACACAGGCTTCACCAGTCCTTCATCCCAGCACTCCCCATGAACACCAGGTCGGGCCATGAGGAACTGTCAGTCCTGCCAACCGACTGCACCAGCAGGAGGGAAGCCTCTCCTTAGGATGTTACCCGTTAATGCTCAATCTGTTGGGGGAGGTCAGTGGAGACTAGAAAATAGGGAACTCGAAAGAGGGGCCAGGTATGACGGGCAGTGACATGGGAAGGGAAGCCAGGCAGGTGGGTGAGGGGAGGCAGGTATGAGATGGGGACATGCAGGGCCTGGGTAGACCAAGGCCAGCATCTTGGCATGCCTAGGCTTGGGGACATGTGATCCAGAGACCAGAGGCAGCAGACATTGGGGAGGAGTGAAGCTGTGGGGATGGGAATTGGGTCGGGGGTCGGGTAAGGTTGGCAGACCTGCCCTGAACTTCCCTCCTACAGGATCTGTGGATGGCATGGCTGTAGAAGGCCCGATCCTATACCCCCACTACCATCCAATCAGCCCCCAAGTCTCAGACCCACATCCAAAGCTGGGTGGAACCAGGAGACTGCACTGGTTTGCTGTATCCAAGTCCTTTATTTCTCATACCCAGGATCCAGTGCACTCAGGCCTACATCCCCATGGCAGCAGAGCAGGGACTGTGTCCTAGGGGGTGGGATTGCCAATCACATCTGCAGGAGGTCCTGTGTGGCTGTGCAACAGCAAAGTGTCCCACAAAGTGTCCCATGAGAAGGGGCCTGCGGTGACCAAGATACACCAGATCTAGCCTGGCCCGGCCAGGAGGAGCTCTGACAAGCTGTGTGGTGGGCAGGTGGGGCTTCCTGGGTCCAGTGCTAATTAGGCTGTCCAGAGCTACCCAGAGCTGGACCCAGGTGTCCTGTGAGGCCAACAGAGGGCACTCCCAGTGATGTGTGCATTTTGTGGCTGCTACAGTCAGAAGGGAAGTCACAGCTTCTCAGATGTGGAGAACCCCACTTTCCCAACTGCTGTCCACAGATACAGAGAGCCCAGCTCCAGAGGGCTCAAGGTGTGGCAAAATCGGCTGTCAGGTACTCAGGTGATTCTCAGCTCTTGAGACCTTGGCAGAGTACATTTCCCGTGTCCTCTGGCTACGGGGCTGCCCATGCGGAACTCCATGGAGTTAGCTGCAGTCCTGACTGCTGGGGGCCAGCTGAAGCCATACCTCAGGCCCAGGAAGCTCAGGCTGTTGATGCCCAGAAGGAGATGAGACAGGGCCTGTGGCTGAGAAGGGCAAGCCAGCTCCTGTGCGGCATGAGCCTCCACCTAGTGGTGCAGGCAAGTATGGCCTAATAGGGCAGGTATCCACAGGAAACGACGCAGGAGTAGTGACGGTGCAGCACAGCTCAACTGTCACATACCCTGGGCCCTCTTGCTCTGGGGAAATGAGTGTTGGAGGATGAGGGCTGTTGCTGCACACATATTGGATCAAATCCCTAAAGGGGAGGGGTGAGGCCCGAGGGCCAGGGGGAACACAGAGGATGCAAACCAACTGTCCATGACGAGGGTCAGATCCACACCACCAGGCCCACTCTGGATGACATTTGCTCCAGCCACCACGATGCCCAGGGAGCAAGACTTTGGCTAAGACCAGGAAGCCCAGGAGGAGGCGTAAAGGGACCAGGGGTGCCACTGCCCACCAAGGAAAGGGCTGGACCTCACGTCTGGGCCAATGAGAGCTCCTCCAGGCCTCCCTTCCCCAGGCGGTACCTGGCCAGGTCCTTCCTGGTCACCAGCCCCACCACCTGCAGGACAACAATGGGTCAGAGCCTCCACAAGGTCAGTGTCCCATCTGCCTATGGGAGTGTCTGGCCCCCACCTTGCTGGGGAAAAGGGGGGCCTTAGATCTGGTACAGGGTTCCCCATGAAGGACACAGACCACCGGCCTCACCTGATTGCGGTTGTCCACTACCACCAGATGCCGCAGGCCCAGAGCCCGGAACAGTTTGAACACCCGAGGGAGGGAGGCCTCCTGCAAAGTGGGCACAGCCTCAGCCACTAGCCAGACAGCAGACACCAGACTGGCCCATTTTCTGGCTTCAGGATATTAGTATGTGTCCTGAGCTGTCCCTTCCCCCCATGCCTACCCACCTCCTGCCTGTCCAGTGTGCAGCTGCAGAGCTTCAGTGGATGTCAGTGCTCAGCCCATCAGGCAGCCCCTTCCCAGGTTACCCACTGACAAGCTGGCAACACAGCCCTGCCCACACACCTGGGGCACAGTGTAGGGAGAGGGGTTCATGAACTCGGACAGGTCCATGGTGCACTCTCGCTCATCCTGTGACACGTGGATGGACTGGATGGGGGGGAAGCGTGGGTAGGCATCACGGAAGTCCTTCAGCCGCAGGCGCCGTTGCACCAGGCCCATGTTGGATCTCTCCACAAACACCTGCAGGGGCCAGTGGTTAGGCTCCATGGGGCAGCCCCTGCTCTCCCCTACTTCTGCACCCTCTGCCAGTTGGCTGTGTACCTTGTGCTTCAGGAGCACGATGAGCTGGGAACGCAGGATCAAACCCTGGAGCCGGGCTGGCTGTAAGAGAAGTAGTGGTCAGAGGCAGCCTTTGGATAGCAGCTCCAGGCCACAGCTGCCCTCTCTGGCTACATCCCAATCCCAGCCACGATCACCTTGAGTGCTGACCTTGCTGAAGACACCTGAAGTGCATAATCCCATTAATACATGGAGGACCTGAGTAGGGACAGTGTGGTGCCAAGGTCGGGCACCAGCTGGTGATGAGATGCAGCCCCCATCAGATCAAGCCCAAACCACTGGTGATAACATCTAATGGTCCCAGCATAGGTCCTGGGCGAGGGGACAGTGGTAGCCGGGCTCGTGTTCTGCCAGCACCTGCTGACAGAGGTCAGCCACAAAGAAGACAGCTGCTCAGTCCAGTCTGATTATGAGTACAGGATGCACATAACACATGGCAGCTCTGCCACGGCCAGGATGGGCACACAGCTGTGGGCACAGCTGTTTCACGAGTGGGATTTCATTCTGCACCTAAATGTGGGGCTGCCACATTTACACAAACTGCACAGCATGCTTCCCAACCACAGACCACAGAGGAAGGGACCTCAGATCTGCAGGGAGGGCCATGGGCACCTGGGTGTCCTCTGAGTCCTCCACCACAGGGAAGCCATTGTGGTTGGATGCTGTGTTGCTGAGGACATCCACAATGATGCCAACCTTCTCTCTCCTCCTTAGGCATGTCACCGGAGTGCTCATCACCTCCCTGAGGAGACACCAGTACACAGTCACCATCACAGACAGTTGTTCACCAGGCACAGTAAAGCTCTTCCTCCATACCCCAATACTCCAGACACACATGGACATTCAACAGGCACAAAGCTTTTGGACTAGGAAACTGGGAACTGAGGACCCTCAATACCAAAAGTCAGCTGTGAATTGGCCAAGGGAGCTTGAGGGGCTGGCAGTAAACCCCTCCCCTGTATCCTATCACTCACCCCCCACCCAGTGGGTCCGGACACAAGGTGGCCATACCTGGCAGTGAGCGAGTGTGAGGTGACGGGGGCCTCCCAATGCAGGAAGGGCACACTCTGTAGCTGGATGTGCATGTCATACAGACCCTAGGGGGAGGCAGCATGAGGCACAGTGGCATCCAGGGTTGCCCCATGGGATCCCTGAAGGATAGCCCAAGATGCACTGCGCCTCCCCTACCCAAGGAGGCCATTTAGGGTTGGCTTTGCAGGGACTCCCTCCCCTTTGCAGCTGCTGCAGGGCCCACAACCCAGAGTCAGGATCCAAGGCCAGGGCATGGGATGGGCAGGGTAAGCTGGTCTCCCACTGTGCACCTCAATGAAGACATCGCCCACGATCTTGGCAGTCATCAGCACCAGCATGATGGGGAAGCCGTAGGTCACATTGCTTGTGGCCTCCATCATGATGACTGTCAGGCTCAGGGTCATCCTCACAATGCCACCTGTGGGAGTGGTCATGAGCCCTGTCCCTCCCATGTAGTGTGTTCACATTCTCTGTGCAGCACCATGGCTGCCTGCTTGCCCCTTTGGGCCCAAGCTGTGGGGACAGTGACTGCTGTCATGTGACCATGCCATCAGCAATGAGGACCATACCTATCTGAGGCCCACAGTCTGTGTTGCCTTTTTTTTTTTTTTTTTTTTTTT